ATTATTGATACGTAAATAATTTTAATTAATTAAATTAAAATCAATAATTATATTTTAATAAATATTAATTATAAAAAAAATATATTTATTGTACCTTTATCCAGTGTTTTATCTTGTGTGATAAAAAAATCTATAAAAAACTTTTCCCTTTATTTAATGGTCTATTGAGGAATTGAACAAAACATTGTTGTTCTCAATTAAAATGAGTCAAAATTAAAATAAAATCCTATAATTCTTTAAGAAAAATGGTAATTTGGTGAAAACTGAAAACAAAATTTAAGCCACAAGATCATAAGAAGGACAAAGTGAATGACCGTGTTAGGTTAGGCAATCAACTTTGGTAAGAGACCAGTAGACCTAAAGGGGCTCCACACGGGTCTCTGTACCTTGGGAGTCCTTTCTTTAGGACCTTAGCTTGTCTGTGCACATATAGGCCCGAGGTCTTTCCTTGGCCAGACTATACAAATTAGGAAAGTCAGTGGCCCAATCACTTTGTCTCGTAGTTGAGTACACTCTTACCCTTCCTAGCCTCATATAAAGCTTGGCAACGCTTAGTTTTCTGACAATGTGGGACATGGCAGTATATCTCAAAGGCAAGAAGGTAAATCAGCCCTTCAACTTTGGGGCAGTTGCCAATAGACCCTTCTCAAACAAACATGAAAAAATTTTAACCACTTTTTTTTTTTTTTTTTTAAGATGCTAACCTTGAATTTAACGTATTATATCAGTTGAGATCACTTTTCTATTACAACTTTGATTATATGGCAAATTTATCTTACATGAGATAATTTTTACTATATATATACAAATTTTTACTTCACTTCCCTCCGCCTATGTCAATCCAAACATAACATTAGTTTTGAATTTATCTATGTAATTGAATTAAATGCACATAATTTATAGATTGTTAGTTGCATTTGAATTGATTATTAGCATAAAGCCCTAGAGGATTCATAAATGCTACAATGGTGCAGAAACCTTCACATATAGTTGCATTTTTTTTTTAATGAACATGTCAACTAGTTGAATTCTTTTGGGGAAGAAGGGTAAGGATGAGAAATGAGAGTTCAAATCTTAATTATACTAATGAAAAAACATCTTTTTGCCAATGGTTTAACCCCTCAAAACTTTACATTCTTTTGTAGGACTAATAAAAGGTATATTGCACATACTCCCTTGCCCTAACCATCTGTGCGAGGGTCAATCCAAAGGACTGGGTTAGGGCTTGGATATGATAGATAGTAATTCACTCTACTAAGGTATTCACAATAACTAACCGCATGTTTAGATCGAGAGAAATAAGGGGAAAAAAAGGGAATAAAAAGGAGGAAAAGAGAGGCAATTATGAGAATTCTATTTTTCTATTCTTCTTGCCTCCCTTTCCCTCATTGAAATAAGTAAATAAATTTTTTTTTAAAATTCTTCCCACCTTATCCCCTTTTTTAAGTTCTCTTGATAACTAAATAAAAAAAAAAATTCTTTTTTTTTCCCTTTATTCCCTTTAACTCAAACCTATTACAAAGGGTATCTAAATTGCTAAGAGCTTAAAAATTCAATTCTTGAACTTTGAAACTAATAATGGAAAGAGAGTTGCCAACGACCTAAATAGTTTAATAGTTATCTCTTTCTGTTAAAATTAAGAAATTATGAGTTCGAATTGTATGAAATATAGGTTGAATATGATAAAAGATGAGAGATAATTATTATTCATTATGCAGTCAAGATAATAATAATAATAATAATGATAATAATGATAATGAAGGAAAGAGAGTTTGAAAATGATAGATCTACTTTATAATAAACACAGCATCAGTTGGAAAACAGAACTGATATGATATTCACGTGGAAGACTACCTTAAGTTTCGGGCCATTTAAAATGACAGTGACTTGGACCGGACCACGTTTCAATTTATCTTTAAAACTGGGCTCAAGGCATCATTTGAATTTTGGATCCCCACGCCCCCTACCTAATGGCTGAGACCCTTGGATAAGTGGAGATCAGCTCTTCCGGATTGCGGTTCAGTCCCCGTAGATGACACTCT